GGTCTTATCCTGGAATCTGCGATAAAATAAATTCCAAATGCATATACTCTTTCAGTTTATTTATTGTCCGACATAATATTAGCATGTCTACACACCTCATCCTTCTTCCTTAACAATGAGACTCCACGGTTTCTACGCAGTGATTTTGTATTAAATTACTAATATAACACCAGAAAAGGAAGTGACCGTCCATCCATCCATCCATCCTTCATGCATTCAAAATTTGTTTATTGAGTGACGACATTTATTACAGACGCACGATGAGAGACACAGCAGGGAACAACATAGATTATACCTTGAGGATGCAGACACTGGGCACTTAATGACAACCATGATGACTATTTAAAAGGGGGCTGGGGGAGTGAGTGCACAGACGACAGAGCTGAGCGAGCCCGAGCACCACAGAAAGGTCTTCCTGCGGAACCAGAACAATGACGAGGGTTGTTATGTGTTTTGACAAATGCTGACATTCGGACAAATTGGAAGTGTGACCACATAAACCGAAAGGCGGCCAGAAAAATCAGTTCTCAGGAATACTAAAGCCAATATAGAGCAATTAGTAAAAAGAAAGCCTGATGTGTCCCGCTTCCTAACGCTCACTGCTAAAAGGGCTGTAGCTAGACCCACTCGACAAAGAAAACGGATGAGCAACGCAACCCTTTCTCCTCGGACGGAACCTCCCCGTGGGAACGCTGGCTCTAGAACGAGATGGAAAACCACCGTAAGGACTTGTAGTCTGTTCCTGTACGTTCCTTCCCCTCAGTTTTAGGGAGTATGCATGCATGTGTTAAGCATTTAATTTATAAAGTATCCCCAGAAAATAGTTTTAAAACTGTTCAAAGAAAAGATATCTTCGGGTTTTTCCTAAACATGTATGTGTGCTCGATTCATCCGTGTTAATGACATTTTAAAAACATACATTGTTTCTGTATGTCAGTAGTTGTTGGGAGATACAGGTCATGTTGCTCTGCAGTTGATAAGCAAAGAGGTCAGCGTGGCCAGTGCAGTCCCGAGTGGGCCGGAGGCAGAAAGGGCATTCCTGTAAGACCCTCCCTCTGTGCTTGTGAAGCCCACATGTCAGTTATCTCAGGGAAAAAATAAATATGTAAATATAAACATATGTATAGTATAGTAATACCGTAGAATGTTTACAATTATAAAGGCGATAAACACATTTTTTTAAAAAAAGTATAGAAATCACTGCTGAGGGGACTGGAGATGCTATAGGTATTTCCTTTGTGTCTTGTAACCTCATCCTAGACCAGTGATGGCGAACCTTTTGAGCTCGGCGTGTCAGCGTTTTGAAAAACCCTAACTTAACTCTGGTGCCGTGTCACATATAGAAATAATTTTTTGATATTTGCAACCATAGTAAAACAAAGACTTATATTTTTGATATTTATTTTATATATTTAAATGCCATTTAACAAAGAAAAATCAACCAAAAAAATGAGTGTCATAGGTTCGCCATCACTGTCCTAGACCCTTAATCTCGTCATTAACTACATGGGTGGCTTTACCAAGCTCACTGCACGATGTAGTTAGTGAACCTGAGTTTCATCGAATTCGTACATAGAAACTAACTGTGTTAATCACTTCAAATAATCCCAAATTTTACCATCATTTTCTATTTTGAGAATAAAGATATTTTTAGGCGATTTTTCCTTCTTCAAAGAGAGCCTCTGAGATCTTAGCAGAGAAGCAATTCGAGTTGGCTGCGGGGAAGGTGGCCACTTACCTTTAGAAAGGGAGACTGAACCCCCCAAGCACGGAGGCCAGCTGGCAGGGGGAGCCGCCTCCTGTGGACCAGCGACCACACCTGCCTGTGGATTTTGCTTTGAGATAAATGTCCACAGATGTCCCATCAATACCCATTAGTAATAGTTACGGCCAGTGTGTAACCAAGGGACACTCCTCTCCCTAAGCCACATCAGTGGGGGGAGCTGGAACCCTGGACGCCCACAGCCTTTGCTCCCTGCCTGGGGGGTGAGGTGGTCAGGGGAGACCCGGATGACCATTACCATTCCCGACCGGGTCCCGCAGGTGGTGACATGGGTGCAGCTCACCCTGCTTCTCTTGAGAAACAGAACTGGGTAAGGGCGACACAGACTAAGTGTTTGTTGATGAATGAATGACGAACAAGCTACATGGATGAGTTGTACCCAGATTTCTAAATGGTCATTGGTTTTATTTAAAGTTGCAACTAGACAAATGCACCAGCGCCTACACACACACACACACACACACACACACACACACACACACACACACTCACACACACACTTCACAGGTCATATTACCTTTCTCAAACCTAAGGGGATAATTTTCTGGATTTTGCCACATTTTAATATACCAACCTCCCGCCAACAATCTCCATATCTCTAATGGTGGGATCTTTGAATAATGATGGTTTAAGTGCCATAAATTTTCAAAGAATTCTGATTTTCAGGTCTAGTCTACTTTTGTCCAAAGTCAAACCAAGCCAAGAAAAACTTTTGTGCGTGAGTATGTCATCAGCACTCATACACATCGTTCCCCACCAGTAGGCTGCGGCCCTGTAAACTCTTCAAGCGGGGAGAGGAGTCGTGAAAGGGAGTCAGTCCCACCAGCCTCTGGATCACGGGATCCATGGGCCTCTGGTACATACATTTCCCGGCAACAACAAACCCCGTGTTTGGGGAAGCAGGGAATTACCCATCAACCCTGTGAATGACTTCATTTTGCATTCTAGATGTCTTTAATGTTGACATCTGTCACCTCGAAAATCCTCCACCTTCTTGATCATGATGGGCTCCTCTGGGCAGTTCACCCCGTGTTTGGGGAAGCAGGGAATTACCCATCAACCCTATGAATGACTTCATTCTGCATTCTGGGTGTTTTTGGAATGTTTTTACTTCCTCTTCCCGCATTCTTTAATGCCGACATCGAAGATCCTCCAGCTTCTTGATCATGATGGGCCCCTCTGGGCAGCTCATGGTGATGGTGAACACTCCGTGCGTCCCATCAGAGTGGAGCATGGATGCTTCCTTCACCCAGAACACAGAACCTGGAGATGGGAGGGCGGAGGCAGCATCAGGAGAGCCGTCTGCGGGGGAAATCCTGACTCCCCCCAAGGCAGACGCAGCCTGCTCTCCACGCGCCTCTCTCGGCCGCAGCAGTGACTGACGGGCAGCTGGGACCCGGTTCCCAAGCAGCACCCTTCACGGAGCACCTGGGTCCGCACAGTTAAGGAAGAAAACATGCAGCTAAATTTAAAAGCAGAATTTTTAATATTGCTGTTTATGAAAGAATATGAGCCGAATATTCTGGCAGAAGCAAGCCTGCCCAGCTACATGACCGTTAGTCTCAGCAAGATATTTTGACAGTCAGTGTGATTCTCCTTTATTAAGTGACAGAATGCCCAAAGAAGAGACAGGAAAAATACACAGCATAGAAATAGAAAATATTAGCCACCATTTTTTTTACCTCTTATTTTCTCCCCCCCCCCCAAGAAAAGAGCTCATAAAAGTTATGATTTAACTTGTTATCTTAAAATACTCAGGGGAACTTGCTGCATCGGGCGTCCGTTGCTTGGAATGTTCGAACGCCTTATAGTTGGGATAATTCCCTTCTTCTAATGACAAGGAGAGTATGTATTCATGTGAAAGCCTTAAGAAGAAATACTTAACTTGTTATCTTAAAATACTCAGGGGAACTTGCTGAATCGGGCTTCCGTTGCTTGGAATGTTCGAACACCTTATAGTTGGGATAATTCCCTTCTAATGACAACAAGAGTATGTATTCATGTGAAAGCCTTGAGAAGAAATATTGATGTTAAAACACTATATGTGGGTTAGCGAGGTCGGATCTGTTGATATTATATTAGCCTTAGAGTTAATAACGAATAATAATGGAGTGGAATGCCAGAACGTTGCCTCACACATCCCGTCAGCATGTATGTGAGCACAGCGGGAAACCCAAAACAAAAGCTAATTTATGGAAAACTATGTATTTCTAATGACACCGGAGGCCAGCAGGGGTCCCAGCCTCCACCACACTCCTCACCCAACCTGCTTTCATCTGGCATTGAAACGGGGCTGCATTCCGGAAGCGTCTCACATCAAATCATTGCCCCATATTTAAAAAGTATTCTTATATTTTTTGTAAAATCTAATCATTGCACATGTGCATTATGTATATTTATATATTCATGAAACTAAAACAGAAAATGAAGAAATTTTGTTTTCAAAGCCCAAGGTACCGAGGTAACATATGCACGCAATGATGGTTGGACTTCGTGTAATTATATTTTCATTTTAAAATAAAAACAAAGGAGCCGCATTTGCATTCAGATACACTGATACCTTTCTATGCCGGGTGGGGTTTTTCCCAGGCTCCATGCTTTCGCCTGGGAAATGGTGGCACTTTGACGTACAGCGGCATCTCAGAGCACAGTCTGGGAGAGCCCTCAGGTCATCCGTTGTAGACGTGAGATGTTCCTGTGCATGAGAAACAGCCTCCGAGAGGCCCAGCGACTCCCCAAACCGCTGCACCAGGTGGAGCCCGAATGGAGAATGGGACCTGCGTCTCTTTTCATACAAACAAGAGGCTCCCCAGACGCCCCGGACAATCTCTGCTAAAAACTGTGCTCTGACCTCTAACCCTCGGATTGAGATGGCCTTTTCCTGCACCTTCTGATAACATGTTCTTTTTTAAAAAATACATATTTTATTGATTTTTTTACAGAGAGGAAGAGAGAGGAATAGAGAGTTAGAAACATCGATGAGAGAGAAACATTGATCAGCTGCCTCCTGCACACCCGCTACGGGGAATGTGCCCGCAACCAAAGTACATGCCCTTGACCAGAATCGAACCTGGGACCCTTCAGTCCGCAGGCTGATGCTCAATCCAGTGAGCCAAACCGGTTAGGGCTGATAACATGTTCTTAACGAATCTTTCTCAGGAAGGGTGTGTTGGGGGGAATGTGCCACAGTGGACCCCCGAGCTGAATTACAAGAAAGGGAAACCAGACCCAAAGTTGCGTGGGTGAACGCTCAAGGCTTCAAAGGCTAAACAACAAGGAATTGCAGGCATTTTCTGGATATCTTTTAAGTCGGTTTTTCTTACCAGCTCTGGTTCTCATAGCTCATATTTTTGTCTTTGTGAGAATGTTTGACCTTGTAATGTTCTGTAGCGTTTAGCCAATAATGGCAGTCATGCTAGGAACAGCACTCAGTTGCCAAAACCGGAGTGCGGTCCTCAGGGTGCTGGTGGCCTGAGCTCCCTTCAGGGCCAGGGGGAGGGTGCCTACTTCTGTGCCTGCTCCACGCGTCCCCCGGGATGTGCCCCAGGGTCCTGGCAGACGCTGGGCCTTGGCAGCAGCTGTCCCCTCCCTGCCTCGCATCCGTATTTGGCAGGACCAGGCCGGAGAGCTCGGGCTCGCCATGGAAATGACAGCCGCTGTGATAACAGCTCCGTGGCCTGGTCCCCGGAGACGCGGTGACATTCTGGCACCTCTCCTCTCACGGGAGCTGAAAACGGCACTGCGTCTGCTCCTTCGGGCCGTGTAATTTTCTTTAATGACACATTTTGGTTTCAAGTGTCCCACACGCTGGCTTTTGCGTCTCAAGCCAACATGTATTGGTTAGAAACAACGACGTGCCCTTTCTTCTGCGGGCGGAGGCGAGATCTCGTGCCACCAGGGCCCTTCATCTCCATCGGCCTGGAAAACGCGAGGAGGGCCGCAGTAATTGCTCTCACCTGCCTGGGCTCGGGGCCTGGAAGAAAAAAATCTTCAGACACTTGCACTGGTAGATCTTTCCAAGCATCCCGTCTCAAAATTATCTCAATTAATGAGTGTTTTTCTCAACGTTTTCTGGCAAAGCCTGCAGAAAGAAAGACTGTAAGAGGCTATAGAATGAATGCCTTTGAATTCTGTAGGGAATATTTTCATTTTAAACACATTATAATCCGTTACACTCTAAGAATGCCACCAGCACCCTAAGAAGATGGAACCTAAAGTAAGCTATTTGGCTGTTAGTAAAACAGGTGGCAATCGTGATTGATGGGTGAGTGTGCATGTGAGTCTCTCTTACTGTGGGTACCGTGGTGATCTTGTTATCACTGATATGGGTGATCGTATAAAATGTATGCTTATTATTTTGTAGTGTAGAGGGCAAATGTCAGCTATTACAACCAATTTAAAAGAGCTGTGCCTGGGAATTATCCCGGAAAGGGTTGAGGGAAGGTGGGAACATACACTCGAGCTATGCTGTGTTAGATGGACTACTTTTAAATGGAAATTTTAATTTAAGCGTCATAGGCATTTAGGAAAGTATACAGCGCCTAAGTGCACACAGCCAGGGGAGCCCCCCTCCAGGTAGAAAACCGGGATGTTGCCCAGCACCCCAGAAGCCCCGAGAACTCGCCCGGCTCCACCGGCTCCCCCTCCCAGCGGGTAGTCAGTCACTCCCGTGACTGGTTCCCACCAGCTGGTAGGTCCTGCTTTTGAACAGTATGCACATGGACTTGCCCAGGAGTCACGCTTATTGTGAATGGGTTGTCTGGTGAATGTTCTGCATGTGAGATGTATTCATGCTGCTGCAGCTGGCAGTGGCCGGCCCCTTTGCGTTGCTGTGTGGGACCCCTTTCTGTGCTGTGTGGGACCCCTTTGCGCTGCTGTGTGGGACCCCTTTGTGTGCTGTGTGGGACCCCTTTGTGTGCTGTGTGGGACCCCTTTGTGTTGCTATGTAGAAGCCGGCCCCTTTGCGTTGCTGTGCGGGATCCCTTTGCGTTGCTGTGTGGGGCCCCTTTGCGCTGCTGTGTGGGACCCCTTTGTGTTGCTGTGTGGGATCCCTTTGCGTTGCTGTGCGGGACCCCTTTCCATGCTGTGTGGGACCCCTTTGCGTTGCTGTGTGGGACCCCTTTGTGTTGCTATGTAGAAGCCGGCCCCTTTGCGTTGCTGTGCGGGATCCCTTTGCGTTGCTGTGTGGGGCCCCTTTGCGCTGCTGTGTGGGACCCCTTTGTGTTGCTGTGTGGGACCCCTTTGTGTTGCTGTGTGGGATCCCTTTGCGTTGCTGTGCGGGACCCCTTTCCATGCTGTGTGGAATCCCTTTGCGTTGCTGTGTGGGACCCCTTTGTGTTGCTGTGCGGGACCCCTTTGCGTTGCTGTGCGGAAGGCCATTGATGACTTCACTATAAGATTGAACCCGCTCACTGCTGGCAGCATCGGGGTAGTTTCCCGTCTGGGGCTTTTACAGATAACGCTTCTGCCAACATTGTTGGTTGCCTTTGGGTGCTGTGTGTGCATGTTTCTATAAGGGGTGTAGGCAGACTTTTGAAATCAGTGGGGACTTCAGCCACCATTTCTAAGATTTTTAATATAGAGGAAATACAATTCAGTTCCATACAAGCAACTTACCAATAATCTTGCAAAATGCAACCATTTATAGTTGGTATGTAGAAGCCAATTTTAGCAAATGAATAACTTCTGATTATACTTGCTGCTATCAATTTGTGTTAAATTTTTTAAATTTTCCTTAATGTGAATGCTCAATTTTCATTCAATACACTTCTGATAAGTAGGAAAGCAGCACAGTGTAGATAAAGGAACCTGAAATGGGGTCAGGAATCTGCTATCATGCGTCCTCTTACACAGTAACTTTTTAAGTCATTGGGCGACTCACCCTCTCTGCCTGTGTTTCATCCTCACACAGTGGGGACAATGGTCCTGGTCACATGCACATTGTTGCAAGATAACAGGCTTCAAGGTGTTTTAAATCTGAAAAGCACACTGATAGACATAGAAGAGCATCGCTCGCATCCACGATTCCACTCTTACTCGGATAACATTTAGGATATGAATACAGCCCCGCCCCATTAAAATCTCCTAAAACTATGTGGAAATAACAATATAAAACTACAAATCGTAATATAAACTTTTTAAAGATTAAATCTACACAAATACTATTTCTAAAACTTTAATAAGTATGGTGTTTACTTATATAATTTTTAAATTGTTGTTTTAAGACTCTGGGTTAACCACAGTATCCTGCTTCATCATCATCATCATATTATTATTGTAAAATTTCTTTTAGGACAATAGAAGTACATGGGAAAGTACTTGTGGACAGTGCCTGGGATGCACACATGTGACCTTTGCCCCTTGCCCCACACACTGTCTCTGCCCTGGGTTCCCAGTCCCCGGGGAGAAGCTGTGTCCCGCCCGTGGCCTTGGGGAAGTCCCGTCTCACTTCCTTCCTTGTGGCTTCACTCTGCAACCCTGGGGTGGAAGGGACAGGAGTGCTGTGATATGACCTTTGTTCTCAGAAGGTCTGGGTTCAAGGTCAAGATCCACTGCTCACTTGTTTGGAACCTTAACCTCTCAAAAAAAAGCCTCAGTTTTCTGAGACTTAACATGAAAAAAAGTAATATCCACTATTGGTGGGGTCTTTGTGAAGATTAAATGAGATAATGCAGGTCACACTAGCACAGCACTTGACACAGAGCAGGTGTTGGTGACGGTTTTATTTTTGTGATATTGCACCACGGTGTTCTCACCGTGGCCCGGACAACGGGTCTGTGGCTGACAGATGCCTGGTTCCGCTGCCAGCCCGGTTCTCCCACCTCGGCTATCAGCCCGGGGGGTGAGGGACCCGGAGCGCACAGAGCTCCCAGCCACGTCCGTTTGTGTTTTCCTTATTACGGCTTGATTTGTCTTCTGTTGTTTCAGCCTCAAATCCATCAGCACAGAGCTGCACTAGGGCGGCGGGTAAAAGCATCCCTTTCATCTCCCAGCTCTGTGAACTGTTCCACTGAAGACACACAAGGATAACGGGCTTTGAACATACCTGGCAATTTAGAAGTTTTGTCTTAAAGGAGTTGAGAAGGTCTAACTGGTGTTAGAAACTTCAGTTCTTTAAATGTAGAATTTATTTTGTCACACTGCAACTTTTTTAATAGCTTATTGATTTTTAGAAAGAGAGAGAGAGAGGGAGGTGGAGAGAGAGAGGGAAACATTGATCAGCTGCCTCCTGCACACGCCCTACCAGGGATGGAGCCCACAACCGGGACTGGTGCCCTTGACCAGGAATCGCACCTGCAACCTCCTGATGTGTGGGATGACACCCAACCAACTTAGCCACACCGGCCAGGGCATAGCTTCTTTTTTATACTTTGTAAGGGTGGTGTAGTAGGCACCTCATAGTGAACTAGGCAGCCCTCCCTCGTTTTTACATCAGGGGTCTTAACACCATTGCTTGGACCTCTCGTTTTATCATCTTGCTCTTGTTCAGACTTGAAATACCATCGTTCTGAGATGTTCATTTTCCGTCCCTGCTCTTCCTGACTCTAGATCAGCACCCATATCTCCGGCGTTGACTTCTTGGGCTTGTTCCTTGTTGCATAAGCCTCCTCAAAGTTTTCTCCAAATTTAACGTTTTCTTGACTCTTTGTCATGACAATATCTCTAGTTGCATGTGGCCTCTCTTCAGGAGGTAGGCTCCTGCCTGCGTGGCCTTCTCATAGATGGAGATAATACTTTCAGTCGACTCCCAGCTTCTTCTGATACTCTCCCACGCCCTCCGGTCAGTCCTGCGTCAGCCAGGGATCCGCGGTACCACCTTGAAGGTTGGGAGCACAGGCCTCCCTGGGGGTTCATGTCTGCCCTCCAGCTCGGGCGAGGCAGGGGTGTTCTCATCCTTCTTCATCTACAGATGGGTTTTATTTCACTACTTTTCTCTGTGTCTGCCGAGACATTGCATGTCATGTTACTGACCGGTGCTTAGTAATTTCTGGAGCATTTTGACTTTTATGACTTCGTTGCTTCTACCCCACTCTCTCTCCTCCTCCTCTTTTCTTTTTCTCTCTCACACTACCTTTGGAATGAATCTCCCTAACACTCTGAGTTTGTATAAATATCTTAAATGACACATCATAAGTGTCAAGAGCTTCACTAAAAATTCCAACCAGCAATATTTTCAAAGTACATAATATTTCTAAGACCAGACAACTTGTTGGCCTCTGTTTTCAGTGCAGTGTGAAACGAGATGTAATATTAGTGGGTATGGTTCTCATTAGATGATGTCTTGAGTAGAACTGAAATCCCATTTTATGGAGATTTTCTATAATGAATATATATAATAAGATGTTGCCCATCTGGCAGAAAATGAAATAGGTCTCCAAACATAAACATAACATTACTTTTAACACTTGACTTCTGTGTATGATCCATGGATTATCTCTCCTCTTCAAAGTCTGTTAAAACCAATAAAACGAGCTAATCTATAAGAGGACTTTCTATGCTCCATGAAAGCACATGGTAATGACACGTTATTTTGTGTGAGAGCCTTGACCCTGTTGGGTAGTTATTGTTGCTCCACCAACGTGTGCCTGTCAGACCTTTACTCTGTGCCCAAGTGTCTCCCACTGTTTCATTCAAAACTTGCGGAAATAGCTGAAGCTTGACGTGCTCAGTGTTTAGAAAGCTCTTGACATTTTGCCACTCAAACCCTACATAGTCTAATGCAAAAATGACATACGGAGTCATACCTCTTTACCCATTGACAATCTATAAATTCAAGCATTCCATGACCTATGTCTTAATCCTTGAAAAATCAGAGTCTAAAAGAAATTGCCGGCAGACTGGGGTTGAGGCAGGGAGCCTACGTGTAAACATTTGTTACAGATACACAGGGTAGGTGTAGCTACGTTGGTATCTGTGTCTCGTATATTTCTTACTAGATGATGATTTCATATCAGGTATCGGAACAGGAAAATGGGAGACTGGTCATGGAAGGTCCCCAAACTGTTGAATCTGTTTTTAAAAATCCAATCAATTATACATAATGCGAGGGGACTTTCACTCACTGTTTTTCATACACCCTAAGGCAATCAAATAATGAATAAAATAGTACTCTTGTCTTAGCCACTTATGTATTTGTTTTATATTTATTAAATTTTCCTTTGAATAACTATATATATTTATACACAAGTGTTTTCTTAGATTTTAAAACCTCAGGAAATAAAATTCGTTTATTTGACAGATATTTATCGAGACCCACTAGGTAGCCCAGCCAGCGTGGCTCAGGTGTTGAGCAGTGACCTATAAACCAGGAGGTCATGGTTCGATTCCCAGTCAGGGCAC